AACCCACCCACCCATCAATTCCCATGTGTCCAAGAAAGCCCCAGTGCTGTGAAACCACAAGTTCTGCTTTACCCACTTTACCCAAGTGCCACTGAGCAAGGAGAGTCTGATGCTCCTGACCCAGCCCTGAACACAGAACTGCACCGAGCAGAGCAAGCAAGCAAAAACTTTCCAAAACTGCAGGACAAGATCACACAGAGACAAAACACTGCAGAGTCCCAGCCAGTAACTGCAGCCTTTGAATTCTTAAAGAAGTACTTAGGAAACAATTCCCAGCACAAGCACCTTCAGCAATCCCTGTGCTCAGGTGTGTAATTAAAGAGGGTTCAGTCCCACGGCGCCGTGTGCACGGGAGGGTGTGGAGAAGGTTTAAAGTGGGTGAGATGATTAATCACAGCAGCAGGATGAGGGGGAGACCCAGCATTGCCCTGTTCTGCGGGAATGCAGCAGGAGCAGCTCCTTTGTGATGGGGAAAGGCAAGAGAGGGAAGCACCTTGCTTGCACAAGGCTGGGTTAGCTGGACCTTGGAGCCCCCCGGTGATCCTGCTGCTGTCTCTGCCGGACACTGCAGGACTCACTGTGTGCTCACCCACACGGCCTGGGGACACCTGGAGGGACAGACAGACAGCCCGGCCCTGACCTCGGACAGGGCAATCCCCCCCTTCCCCAGGGGGAAATCCTTGGCACCGTGTGCCTTCCCCGGGGAATGGCAGCAGACAGGCACAGTCGGAGCCTTCCCCAGGAGGCACCATCAGATCCCTGCTGTGAACCATCAGCAGCACCAGAACAAATAGCAAACCCCACTTTTAAATTTTTTCTGATTCCTAACCACCCTTGGACTGTTGGAAGCCACCTCAAGTGTTCTGCCATCCTGCCACATCACTCTTTAAACCAACCAGACCCCCTCACCAGCAGCAACAGCTGAAAATGGGCTGGAGCAAGGGTTGTGGCTTCTCTGGAGCAGCACTCGACCCTTCCCACAATAGACGTGCACCCAAACTCCTCATCCCCAGCAGAAGCATCTCCCTGATACGCTCCCTGGGGACTGCATATCCCATCTGGGGCTCAGCAGCAGCCTCAGCTTCCCCCTCTGGCAACACAGATCCAGACTTTTCACAGCAATAGATGGAAATAAAAAGCTGCTTCTGCAGCTTTGGCTTTAACACAACCCATCCCTCATTGCTCCTGGCAAAACCTCCTGAATGCAGCCTGATAGCTCAGCCACAGACTGTTTTGTTGTTTCCCACCCCTAACTTCACAGTAAACCACTAAAAAAAAAAAACCACAATACATCAAATTCTGCAGCCTCGATGCAGAAGTGGCTCATAACCCCAAGGAACCTCAAGGATTCACAGACCATCTCTGATTTCTGGACTTGCTGTTGCTCTTAAGCCTCAAGCTGTGCATGCACAGAGTGGGTTTTCTCTCTGGCTCCTCACACGGAGCTCCTGCCTGTGCCACGGTCCATGGCTGGAACCGGAGAAGCCGGGCCTGGCCAGGGAGCCAGGACCTGCTCCCACTGCTGGGCCAGGCCTGCAGCAGCTCCCCAGGCCCTGGCAGATCCCAGGGGCTGCGTGGACGCCAGCAGGGAGCCGAGCCTTCCAAAGCCTGGCAGCCATCACCTCTTTGTGAGCCCACCATCTGCTCTGGCAGATCCACACTCCCATTTCCCCCTCCTGCATCCTCCTCGTTTCCCCAGCTCTCTGTCAGCACTCCCCATTCCCATCAGCTTCCTATCAGGATTTATTCTCCTGCCCAGTGCCCTGAGTGTTGCACCTGGCACATTCACCCCTCCAGAGACTTAAATTGTCTTTGGAGCTCCTCCTCCTGTGGATTACCCCACTCCATCCCATTCTGTTTCCTGCTCACCTGCAGCCATAGGTGATTGGAATCTGTGCTGCCTCCACACCCAGCGGGCCCTGCTCAGCCTGGGAAGGAGCAGCACAGCCCAGACTGTGACAAAGTTCACATTTAACTGATAACAGACCAATGGCAATTCAGGTTACCTGATAAAACACCACATTGCAAGGAATTTACTGCCAGGGCCATCTTCTACCACTTCATGGAGCAGCACTTGCTCTCTTTGGAAGAGAAATGGCCCAAACCAGTGAGTGCCAGCTCAGAGCAGGTGCCAGCACAGCATGTACCAGGTGTAATGTGGGAATTCCAGGGAATGCCTGGTTTGTACCCCATCCAAAACTGTATCTTTGAGACACTGGAAAGGCAGAACTGACAAAAAGAGCTGCAACAGGCACCTCAGGAGAGAAGAGCTTTGGGAGCAGGTTATCCAAACAGTGGGACTTAAACAGAAACTAAAATAGGGTCCTGAAATCAGGCAGAGAAAAGAACAAAGGTAGCAGCCCAGCAGAGTGTTTATGTTCCTGCTCTGGGAGTGGAGAGCAGCTCAGCAGCTCCTGTGTCAGGAGAGATCCTTACGGACACGAGGAGCCTTGGCAGGAGCAGGGATCAGCCTGAGCAGGGTCACGGGCTGCCCAAGGAAGGGAAAACACAGAGCACATAGGCCTGACTGAGGGCAGGCTTCTCCCCACAACCAAGGAGGGCAAAATCCTACATCAGAAAAGTTCCCATGTTCTAGCATTGGAAAAGGTGATGTTTTCTCCACCCTAAAATTCATCTGTCTGGTCCCTGCAGCCTGTCCCAGCCTGTCTCCTGCACTCCCTGGCCTCTCCTTGCAGGGACACTCAGCAGCTGCTTCTCATCAAAACCTCACCACGAGCTGGAGGAGTCCATAACAGAGCCAGAGCCCAGCAAGTGCTCGGGAGGTGGGAAACAGTCACAAAGCTCCTAAATAGCACCAGGTGGCAAACAGGACACGTTGCCATGCCCCACAGTGTGCAGCCAGACCAGGAACTGCTGTCACAGGCACAAATCCCAGCTGTACAGAGAAAGGGGCAGGTCCAGTGTCACCAGCAGCTACAGCCATGGTTGTGAGCATGGAATACGAGTGACAGCTGTGACAGGCACCCTCCTTCAGGCTGTGCACGAAGCAGTGTCCACATGTGAGAAACAGTAACAGGTCAGAGCCAAAGGGACAGCCGGGCTCACTCTGGCACCACGGGACTGCTCCAGGACCATGGCACCACGGGCACTGTCCAGGAAAAGGCAGAAAAAGGCCCCATCGTGCCCAGGTGCTGTTGGGCACTGGCGGATCTGGTTCAGCTCACAGGGTGTTCAACTGCACTGAGCCACTGCACTGATCTGAGGCCCCTGTGGGCACATCCATCCCACTCCAACAAGGGCTCAGACTGTTTAATGTAGCAAAAGAGAAGAACAAAGCTCGACCCAAGGGTAGATTTACGTTTCAGAAAGGCAAACGTGTGCCCCAGGGCAGGGTGAGCTCTCGCATGCCTGCAGGCTTCTGCCACCAGCACAACCTGCAGGGATCCAACTGGTTTATGTGAAAGGAAAAACAGATGAAATTTGGCCAAAAAGGGGCAAGTCACATCTCTCTGAACAGCCAGGTTGTGTAGCAACAGTATCACTTGGCACTGGACACAAACCTCCTCCACACCTCCCGTACAAACCAACTGCTCAGGGACCAGGAGCATTCCCAAAGTGCCCAAAGCTGCAGCTCCAGCAGCGAGAGGTGATGCCAAAACACGAGGAAGAGAAACAAAAGTCCAAGAGCTTCAACCAGCAAATTCCACAGCATGGGGCTGAGGACGAGCCGAGCCCAGGCACGACAGAGTGTCACCGCCAGCCGCGACAATGCCAGCGCAGGGCCGGGACACCTCGCGAAAGTCATCCCGCAGCTCTGGCAGTGCGGGAGCCTCCCCGGGCACACCGCAGCTCCCAGCGCCGCAGCGGCTGGTGCCAGGGGGGACGGGCAGCACCCAGCGCTGGCACTGCCGGCTGCAGACAGCTCGAAAGTCACCCACTCCCCTCTCCGGAGGGCACAGCAGCCCGAGGAGCTCCCTCTGGCACGGCCCCCCGGCATCACCGGCCCCACCAAACGCTCAGGGGTGCGCAGCTCCCACGCCCCGCTGCAGTGTCCCGTCCCAGCCGGGGAGCAGAGCGGGGACAGACCCCGGCCTGCCCCGCAGCGCTGCGGCCCCAGCAGCCCCCTCGCTGCACCCCACGATCCAAACCCCCCAGACGCCCCCAGCCCCACACACGCCACCCGCGGCTCCCGCTGCCCTCCCGGCCCGCAGCGCCGCAGCCAGCGGCAGCAGCCCCCGCCGGGCCGCGGATCCGTCCCCGGGCCGCGCTCACCTCAGCAGGCTGGACAGCGGGTGCCCCACACCGCCGCTCCCGCCGCTCCCGCCGCCGCCTCCCCCCGCCGAGCCGCCGCCGCCGCCCCCGCCGGAGCCGCCGAAGCCGGAGCTGAGGCGCTTCCCCGAGAGCAGCTTCTCCACGGCCGGGAGGTTCCCGGTGCGGGCGGCCTCCAGCAGCTCCTGCTCCTTCCCCATGGCCGGCGCGGCCCCGCCGCCCGCGCGACTTCCGGGGCGGGGCCGGGGCGGGCCGGGGCGGGGCCTCGGAGGGCGCGGCCCGGCGGGCGGGGTTTGATGGATGGGCGGTGCGGGGGCGGGGAGCTGTAACGGCCACGCCCCCCGCGGTGCCCGCCGTGCCTCGGCCGCGCCCGTTTCGGGCGGCTCTGGGGAGTTTTCCCCGCGGGGCCGCCCTAGCGCCGTGTCCCGGCAGGGTCCAGGCGTGCGGAGGGCGGCTCGGAGCGGGGTTGGTCGGTCCGGGCGCGCAGAGCCCGGGGGTGAGGCCCGCACGGGGCCCCCTCCGCAGCCCCGCTGCCATGGCGACAAGCCCGGCCCCGCGCGTCATTAAGCTGCGCTGCCGAGTCGCTGTTGCCGCGGCAACAGGCACCGCCCTCGTTGTCATCGGGACGCGCTGTCGCACCTCCGTTGCCATGACTACAGACGCCGTGCCCCCCCGCCTCGCCGGTGCGCGTGCGTCATCACGAGGCGCCCCGCGTCACGTTCCCGTGGCGATAGGCCCCGCCCCTCGCGGCGCCCGCCGTGTTTCGTCATCAGGAGGCGCCGCGGGCGCGGCCATGGCGGACCCGGCCCGGGACGCGCTCGGTGCCGCCGCCGCTGTGCCGGAGCCGCCGCCCGCAGCCGCCTCCCCGCCCGAAGCGGCGGCCGCAGAGGCGGCGGGAGAAGGCGAGGTGCGGGAGGCTGGCGGCGGCAGCGAGCTGAAGGCGGAGGTGGCGGACGGGGAGGTGAGGCGGGAGCGGGAGCGGGGCCGGGGCGGGCGGCGGGGCCGCAGAACGAGCGCTGCGCTCCCGCCCAGGTGAGGAGCGCGGAGGGGGAGGCGGCGGACGCGGAGGAGCCGGGGCTGCAGGCGGGTGCGGCCCGGAAGGTGAAGCTGGAGCTGAAGGAGCGGAAGGAGAAGAAGCAGAAAGTGGACGAGGACGAGATCCAGAAGATGCAGTGAGTGCCTGCGGGTTCGGGAATCGTGGCCCCGGTGCCGCAGCCCCTTCCAGGTCCCCCTCCCCGCCTTCCAGCCCGGCGCTCCCCGCTCCGGCCTCCGCGGGGCTGGGAGCGATCGCTGCGTGCCCCGCAGGATCCTGGTCTCCTCCTTCTCCGAGGAGCAGCTGAACCGCTACGAGATGTACCGGCGCTCTGCCTTCCCCAAGGCTGCCATCAAACGGGTACGAGAGCGGCCGGAGCCCCGGCGGGGCTGGGCCACGGCCGGTCCCGGGGGGCTCCAGCTCCAATCCCCGCAGCGGGAGCTGGGGCCGCGGCTCCCCGAGGGGCTGGGTGGGCTGGGAGGTCACGGGGGTGGGGATCTGACTGTCCCTGTCCCTGTCCCAGCTCATCCAGTCCATCACCGGCACCTCCGTGTCCCAGAACGTCGTCATTGCCATGTCGGGCATCTCCAAGGTGTTTGTTGGGGAGGTGGTGGAAGAAGGTGAGTGGCACCTTGCTGAGAGGCTGGGGTGAATTCCCTGCTTGGAGCAGGGTGTGGAACAGGATTTCCATGGTTCTCCATTCCTGCAGCAGCTCTGGCTCACAGCAGAAGCTGCCACAGCCCCTCTGATCCCCCAGCACTGCTGCTTCTCCTCAGGAAGAGAAGCTGGGCTGGCAACTCCGTCCCTCAGCCCCAGAGCAGCTGCATGATGGGGATGCCATTAGTGCTGCAGGGACAGAGTGGCTCCAAAGCCTCTAGACCTGCCCCAGTTCCTTTGTGGGATGAGCTCAGATCAGTTTGGGACAGGGAGCTGAGCCTGCTCTTTCTGCTCAGCTGTTGGGGCTCACAGCCCACCCACCCCCAGAGGCTCTGAGCTCCTCCACCCCCTCCACAGTTCCTGAGGGGTTCAGCAGCTTTTTGTCCTGCCTGCTGCCCTGGGACTCCTGTCAGGGAGGAGGAGCTGGTGCAAACCCCAAGCACAAACATTTCCTGTTCCTTCCCAACTGCACTGAAGCAGCAGCAGGGGCTGGGCAGAGCTCAGCTGGCCCCTGCCCTGACCTGTGTGTCTGTCTGTCTATCTGTCCAGCTTTGGATGTGTGTGAGAAGTGGGGGGAGCTGCCCCCCCTGCAGCCCAAGCACATGAGGGAGGCTGTCCGGAGGCTCAAGGCACGGGGGCAAATCCCCAACTCCAAGTACAAAAAGATCATTTTCCACTGAGAGAGGCTGAGATGAGCTTCCTGTAGGACCTTCCCACGTGGACTCTTCCCTAAGGCCCTTTTGGGGTGACCTGTGGGACCTCAAGGATGTTCCTGCTGTCCCTGCCTGTGCTGGGCAGAGCCTGGATGCACCCTTGACCTGGACTTTGGGGAGAGCAACATCCAGGGGCTGCAGAGCATTTTCTGCTGGCCCAGATGTGCCATCTGTGCCCAGATGTGTGGGTTTTCTTTTCAGTGCATTAAACTTATTCTTGTGTTCATAACTAGGCTGGGATCTGCTCTTTGTGTGACCCAAGGTGCTCCCAGAGCTGATTCCCTGGGAACATCTGAAATCAGGGTTCAGCTGTGCTTCCAAATCCAGAAGCTGCCCAAAAAACAGCAGCAGTGGGAAGAGAGGGGGAGGGAAAAGCAGGAAAAGAGGCCAGAGCCTGGAAGGAGGTTAATGAGTTTAATTCTGCTCGTGGTTCATAGAACCAATAAACCCATCAGTGGAAACAAACTGCAGCAAAGTTGCAATACTGCCTAAAATTCAAATTCAAGTTCAGACTTGCACATTGCCCCTGTCCCCTTCCAGGGGCCCTGGGAGCTGCTCCTGACCCTGTGAGAGGTGCTGAGACCACGTGCTCTCCCATGGCACCTGTGGGCTCTCACTGGAACAGAGGAAGAATCCTTAAATAAGAGGCTCCACAAAGTAAACTTTGATATTTACAATCTGTGGGGACCCAGGAGGTTTTGTCCTCCCACACGTGTGGGTTTTGGGTTACACTCCTTTTTACTGGGTCTTCAAAGCAAAGGAAATGCTTGAATTCTTCAACAAAACCCATTGACTGAAGTAGCTGGAGCAAGGAATTTGCTGTAAACAACCTGGCCCCAGCTCTGCTCAGCCTGCACACGTGGGAGGAGCTGTGGGACCCTGCAGCGTGGGCAAACCCTTGGCATACCCTTCCCATACTTACACAAAATGTCATGAAAGTTTGAAAAAGCAGAAGAGAGAAACCTCCCATTTCCAAGCAATTAATGAAGAAAAAGCAGGAATACCGTGGCATTCCACCTCAGGCAAGCAGTTCTCAGAGCTCTTGCTCCCCACAGGCAGAGAGAGCAGCACAAAGGTTTGGTGAAACAAAATCCAGCTTCTGCTCTGGGCAGTTTCCAGCAGTGCTCACAGGGAGCTGCTCCACACTGGGGTGTTCCAGTGTTTTCCTTTTGGCATCAGGGCTGGCACGTGCAGCCCCTCAGCCCTGCTGAAAGGTTCCAGCCAGTGCTGAAAACTCCACAGCTCCTTCCTCAGCAGCCACGGCTGCTCCTCCTCCTCCCCACCGGGGAACTCGGGCACACAAAGTTCTGAGGAAAAGGTGCATCCAAAAAAACACCCAGGTAATCTCCTTCTGAGACTGAACCAACTTCCCTCACCCCATTCTTTGATAGTAAACTTAAAGTTTAAACGGTGCCTTGTAAGGAATTAATTCCTGCCCCAATACATTGTGGGATTAAGTGGGAATGAACTGGACTAAGTCTCATACAGTACAACCATCTCTACACAAGGAATTACTAGTGGGAAAGGGAATCTGAAGGAATTTCTGTACTGTCTTGACCCTGTTCTTGTGGGAATAGTGAGCTGTGTGCCCTCGCTCCCCAGTGGGAGTCCCATCCCTGTTTGCAGTGACAGCAGCCCTGCTCTCCCAGCAGAGCCCTGACCTTTCTGCCACCCCATCCTATCACTGCCCAGCTGCTGAAGTGACCACCCTGCTCCTGCCGTGGCCCCTGGTGAGCACAGCTGGGCAAGAACACAACACGGAAAGGTGAAAGAAGCAGAAACCCTAGCATGGAGCATCTCCATATGTCAGCACAAAAGCTGGAGGCTGAAAGCCACCCACAGATGAGGGGACATGAGGTGTCCCCCCTGCACCTGAGCTGGTGTTTGTGGGCTGACCATGCCCTGGCTCAGTGCAGCACTCCCAGGCCAGAGCAGAGCAAACTCCTCCTCATTCCTCCCGTTAGTCTCAGCCAGGCCCCTCCCTCCCTCTGCCCAGTCTCTGCAGTCACAGCTGGTTTCAGTCCTGGAGTTGGACCTGTTTGGCAGTGAAATGACCAAACCTGCCCTGCTGGTGCTGGTCCCCTGTCCCCAGCAGTGTCAGAGCTGGAACAGGGGGTCGTACTTCCTGATCTCCTGCAGAAGGCGAGCCTTGTCCATGTTGGCTTCTGCCAGGGCCAGTTTCATGGTCTGGAGCTCCCTCTGCAACTCTGGCACTTGCTTGAGTTACAAGAGACAAGCAGAGAAAAAGACAGGAGTCTTCAAGGTACACAGTGAGCTGCTCCAAGGAAAACCAAAGCAGGAACTTTTGGGATGAATTACACAGTGAGACACAACCACACTGACAGAACTTCTCTTTTTGGGAACCTCTTGATCCCTGTTTTTCTAACAAGGAACTGGACACAGGGATGGAGCCAATCAGAAAACAATCCCCAAGCAGATTCTGAAAGGGAACAAGTGAGTTCATGCTGGGCAAGGTGCCCTCACTCCTCAAAACACTTATGGGAGGAGGCACAGGCTGCTCCTTGGGGCACTCCCTTCCTGCAGCTCACCACACCTGCCCAGGACTGCAAACACAGGAAGGCAAAAGAGAATTTCCAGCTCTGTTGTCCAGGCAGCAGTGACTCACCTGCAGCCCACGTGCTCCTGCTGCTGGGGCTGGTGAGACACCCTCTGATGGGGCCTTCTGCTCCTCAGGGACTGCCACAGGTTTTTCCTGTTTCACTGAGTCCTTCCCCTGGGAAGCTGGAAAGCAACAGAACCCACTCAGGTGTGGACATTCACACAACAGGGCTCTCAGAACAAAAAAATAACTTTAATTAATTTCTTTCCTTTTTTGTCCCCCACCTGCCCTCTTGTTACACAGGGAAATAAAATTCTCTTTCCCCTTTTCAAATGGGGGAACTAAAAGGTAATAATGGATCCTGTCTGTGCATGCTTAAGGAAACACCAGACACAAATTCTCACAGCAGGGAATAGAGGCAGGGACTGCTCCCACAGCAGGAAACACACACAGGGACTGCTCCCACCTCAGAGCCCATCCTTCCCAGCAGCAACCATCACATCCCAGTCTCTCCCAGCACAGCCTGGGGGTGCAGAGGGACAGTAAAACCAGGATGTCACTCACCTGTGAGATAGAAGACACCGTCATCCCTGCGCCTCACCACGACGTGATCCATTGCCAAGGTGATGGGGACAGGGCCAGGGGAGGTGGGATACACTGGGGGGCTGTCATCCTGGAGGAACATGAAGCAGAGAAGGGATGAGCAGCTGTGACAGCTCTTGAAAGAACTTCCCTTGCATGCAGCCTCCTCAGGAGCAGCGTTCCTGACCAGCAGCACTGCCAGACTTGGGGGTGAGCCCACCCTAGGGAAAGGCCTGGCTTTATGTACAGGAACACACTTCCTTTGTGTCCCTTATTCATCCCTAGGGCAGCTTTTAGAAGCAAAACCAAACAGCCTCAGGAGAAGCTCTACAGAGGCCCCCAGCATTCCCACAGCATCCCTTCCCAAGTGCAATCCTGCACGCGAGCTCTGCCCTGGGGGAAATCTCTCACCTTCAACGTGATTTTGGCATCCACCACCTCTATCTCCATGGGGATGACCTCTGGGATGATTTCATCCTCCAGGAAGGGGGCCAGGCTGGTGAGGCAGGAGGTGCAGAGCTGGGTGCAGCGGCTGTGCAGCAGCACCTGCAGGAAGCCGTTGCGCTCGGCCAGCGGCGAGTGAGCGGCGGCGCTGGGGCCGGACTCCAGGCGCAGGCACACCTCGGGATGGGGCTGCCCGGCCTCGGGGCTCGCAGCCCTCTCCACGCCTGGCTCTCCTAGAGCTGGGGCAGAGAGATCTCGCTGCACAACGGGGCCAGTGATTGGTTATCAGATCAGAATGGGCACCATGGAAAGCCCGTTTCTGTCCAAAAGCAGCCAAGTGACCTCGGTCTGACATTATCCCTCACTTCAGAGAAATCCCAATTTCCAAGGAGTAAAGGCCCACATCACTGACCTGGCACTGGAGCTGCACCCTTTGGGGTCCCAGGCACATCCCTCTCTCACACACTTTAAAACTGGTCCCTGCTTTGCATGTGCAGGACCTGGCCCAGTGCCCCACTTGTTCTCCAGAGCTGCCCCAACTCTGCCCCCCCAGAACTGTCCCAGCTGCCCTCCAGAGTGTCCCAACTCTGCCTCCACAGCTGACCCACTGCCCTGGATCACTCTCCAGAGCTGACCAGCTTTTCCTCATCCCTTTGCTCCATTGTGGCCACTGGCAGGACTGGGAAAGGCAGGATTAACAGCCTGGGAACTGCTCACACTTCCACTTCAGGTTTGGAGCTGCTTTTGGTTTTGTTTGGGGTTACATTTTTTGGGTGTTTGAGGGATAGTTGATTGTTTTAAGGTTTGGCTTGGTTTTTTTTTTTTTTTTTAATTCAAATTTAGGGGAAGTACTGTAGACCCAAAAACATTTTTCTCAGGTCAGGAATAACTTCATGGTTTCCCTAGACAATTCTATTCACTCTTTTAATTGATTTCATGCATCCTCAGCAATTTAAAAAATCACAATCAATGATTACTATGCACCACAGAGCCTGACCGTGTAGGCACTTGGAAAACATCTTTCAAATGCCAGATCTGAACCCTCATACATGAGTTGTGCTCAATCCTAACCACCACAGAACCTGACCGTGTAGGCACTTGGAAAACATCTTTCAAATGCCAGATCTGAACCCTCATACATGAGTTGTGCTCAATCCTAACCACCACAGAACCTGACCGTGTAGGCACTTGGAAAACATCTTTCAAATGCCAGATCTGAACCCTCATACATGAGTTGTGCTCAATCCTAACCACCCCAAACACTGAGGCCCCAGTTAATGGAATATTCCCTGAGGGAGGGCTGGTATAAAAGCCAGTTCTAACAATGCAGCTGGGTCCCAGAGCAGCATCTTACCCACGTAGCCACGCAGGAACTGCCACATGCCAACGTTGTTCAGCTGCTCTGGAACCACGTTCATTACTTGTAAAGCCACAGACAGATCATCTCCTTGTACCTCTATTGCACAGTTCACATCATTCATCTTCAGCACGAGGACAGACACCTGAAACAGCCACCAAGAGCTCATTGGTTACAGCAAACATTTCCAGAGCCCCTCAGGGAGAGAATCCCAGTGCCAGGCACTGACCAGCTGCAGACTGGGGTCTTCACTCTGGGACGTGGAGCTGTTCACCTCAGGGGACAC